GTGGGGGAGTGAGGAGAAGGATCATAGGAACTGAACATATGTATGTACCAATATGTGTGCATGGGAGGAGTCACACATGATGTCCATGCACTGTGGGCCATGCGTGCAACCCCAGTTGCCCCATCACCTGAAGAAGACCATCTTTTTGAAAACTGCATGTACTGGCCCATTGTTGCAGAGAAATCCAGATTAACAAGGGTAGCATAGTGGAAGTTGAGAACTTCCAACTACACGGGAAGCAAAGGACATCTTAAAATTAGGCTCAGTTCATTGGCACTTGAGAGATAGGATCTTGCAGAATGTTTGCCAGAAAGTCAACCTCAATATTATTTTACCAATGGGGTATTGCACCATTTGCTAGAAAATATACACCCACAAATTACCAAAATACCATTAGCAGTTCAATTGAGCTGAAATATTTGCTAAATCAAATTCTCATATGCAAAAGGGGGGGGAAAGAGGGAATCAAAATGTTTCATTACCTGCATGTTCTCCCTCATGTCAGTTGCCTCTCTTAATGGATGTACTGCAAGTTTGAAGATGTCATCTATAACCTTGAGACCTGTATTCCTCAGCATAATATAGTCTCTTGTTTTCATCCCTATTCTTGCAGTCAGGCCACGCTTTTGGGTCTTTCCTCCTCCACTACGATTTGTTATAGCAATGTGCACAAAAAGTGTAACATGCTCCATGATGTCTCCCACAAAAGAGCGCAGAGGTATGTGTCGATAACCTGGTTGAATACACTCTAGGGGGATGGCACATTGACCTATGAATTCATCACCAATATAATCATCATCCAACACAACAAAACGGATCATCACAAGCTCTGGCAGATTTATCTCAAACTCAAAACTCTCATCAAAAATGGGGTTGTCACTGTTCTGCTGAACAGTTTTAGTTCTCTGCTCTGTACAGTCTGCAGGAATGCCATGTATTTCTAGACAAACATAGGGATCAATGACATCCCCCTTGGCACAGGCACCTTTGGGCTTTGGAAAATTCTGGCCACTGATGATTTTGACATGTAGAACTTGAGGAGAGACCCCTGGGACAATGCCTTTTGTATTTGCACTGAAGTAAGAAACCTCTTCTCGCATAACAGAAGGTCTAAGGACATAACCACATCCCCCATTTTGTAAAAACCAGCCTGTATGTAAATCCATCATAGGTCCTGGTGTCTGATAATTCATTGCTACTATCTGACAGCCACAGTTCCAAAAATCTTGTGGATTTAAGTTACTAGAATCTATTCTCATGGCACTAGGATATATTCGAGACAAAAATTTCTTATTATAATTTACAAAGTCCTCTGGACACTCATTTGCAATTCGACTTGCTTCAGCTTCACTGAAAGAGCAGATTTCCCAGTAATTTTGATCTTTCATTGAGCTCTCAAAATCTGTGAATTGGATTGATTTACATATAGAGACAAGGTCAGACAGCTCCTTGCATAACCAGGTCCTCTTCAGTAATACTGCAGACTCTTCAGACATTTTTCGAGATACTTCAGCTTCTTCATCTTCATCAGTGACCTCCCCCTCTAATAAATCCTCATCAGAAGGCAGTTTCTTCCCTTTGATAATGATTCTCTTTTTCAGTTTTTCTGGAGATGGGAGGTATGTTTCCGATGGGAGTGGTGTGTCAATGTACAACTTGGTTCCAAAAGTCTTCTTCATTTGTTTAACCATGACTTTCTGCTGTTGTATGGAGCAGTGGTTTTCCAAACAGAGAATAAGAGGATACTCTGAAGAAACAAAGGCTAATTTATTGATCACATCAATGACACACTGAAATGACAGAGGTGATGTCATGCTGTTACGGTTACAGATTATGGGCTCCTTATCTGGTCCATCACAAACATCAAGTTCAATACTTCTACAGCTCATCTTCAGTGCTCTGATGTAACCATTGATATCTGCTGGCCCTCGGACCTGGTCTTCTATCAGGTAGGTATTGTGAGATGAATTGATATAGTAATGTGATAAAGGCTGGGTCATATCTTGGACAACCTTTTTATGTGTGGGGTCAAAAATTTCACATTCTGGGGACAACAAATATTGAGTAAATCCATCAATTGCAAGAAAACCCTTCAACTGCCCTTCCTCTGAAAATTCATACCTACGAATTATATCAAGACACATTTCTTCAGTTATATTAGTGACCCCTTGCTCAGCTTCTAAAAAAAGCATAAGGTCATTGGCATCTAAATATTCTTTGTTTTTGGATATCTGCACCAGCAAAAAATAAACTTCAGGTCTAGTGCAAAGCTCAGTGTATGCTTCACAAAATTCCTCTTTTGTTACACGGGTTGTTAGTTTCTCTTTGCTCTTCTGGATTTCCTTAAATTTTAACCTAATTTTTGACTCCTTTAAGGCAGGGTTCAGCTGTTTTATTAATTCTACAGCTGTATCTTCCAACATGATCCCATTGCCATCAACATCTGCAGCTTCAAACACAGATCTAAGCCACACAAACCGAGGAGTATTCTGACTACCTTCTATCAAATCCAGACATTGCTTGCTACGGGAAACCAGGTACCTTAAACCTGACACCCAAATGTTGGCCACATCTGCTGAATTGGCAACTAAGTCCAGAGAGTCATAATTCTCCCCATGAATTATGGAGAAGGCACAGTCTTCAGAAATCTGATCTGCAAGACCATTGTTTCTGAATGTTTCAGTGTTTTTACCCAATCGGATCTCTTTTACAGCAGAAATATCAAGTTTAGCCTTGTCAGGATCCTTTTTCGATGGCTCCCAACGAAGTGCATGCACATCAGGGTCAAAAGTAAAAAATCGATTATAAATACGGGAATTTGGCCGGACTTTCTTCAGTTCGCAACCAGCTTGCATGAAGCTGATGCAGTCACTTGCGCTACTTATTTTCTTCTCTGATGGCGTGCTGCTGAAGGACACTGTTTTTTTCCGTCCACATTTTTGGTTTGCAGGGTCCTGTAAAGCAATTAAACATGTATGTATTAATGCCTTCTGATCAAATGAAAAGCATACAAATAATATATAAAGCATAAATATAATTACTATATTGAGCCATTAGACTTCATGGAATTTTGTACATACAGAGATAATACAGTCTAGAGATTCCTTGAAGATTAACAAGTTTATCATTAATTGTAGCACAACTAATTGTAGCACAACCTTTCATAGCTCTGTTACATTAGATGTATCTTGCATACCATTCAATTTATTAAATCACATTAAATAAAAGGGACTCATATGCATACTTAACTATGTGCATAATGGTAACCAGAAACGAAACAGTCCACAACAGTAGGATGAATCAAAAGTAATGCAAATTGAGTTAATTTTTATATAACTAATCATTGACCCCAACTCAGATTTATTCTGAATCATAAAGTAGAGAAAACAGAAAATTCTACAAAACCACAAATACTATTTACAAATTGAGGTTGAATTTTTGGTTGAGAAACATCTCTTCCAAATTTTATAACTCCACCAAAATCCGTATTTCAGATTAGAGTTTGTCTGTTTACAGTGGTTGACAGACTGTCAGTCCATCAAGAATATGGATAACACTGGCAGAAATTATATTGCCTCCTCATACAGTTCCCCACATGTCTCCCAAATAATGGGAAATCTGAGAGATAAGAGGGCGAGAGGAGGGGGAAATCTTAATGTATAGACAGAGTGCTTCTTGCATATCACTGACTGGAATGCAAAATGTCAGAACCACAGTTCTTGCCAGGGGTGGGAAAGCATCTCAGTGTGCAATTCTATACACTGTTTACTCAGTACTAAGACCTACTGGATTCAGTGGAGCTTGCTGTGAACAGGGTGACCATTTTAAAAAGAGAAAAACAATTTCTAGAAGAAATACTATTTAAAATGCTATTAAAATAATAAAAACAATACCAAGTTTAAGAGTACTTAGTTATCATTTTAAAACTGAGAACTGCAAGATTCAACCATTAGCAGCAGATTTCCCCTACTCTGGAAGACATAGGCAGTATGGGCTACCCAGAAAGAGGCTACCCAGAAGGAGAGTTCCACCACAGAGAAGGCCCTTCCTCGTTCTTCAAGTGATGTAGCCTAGTTTTGCTTTTATGATCTTGACTTGAATTTAATAAACCATGTAATTTCTCTCCTCCCTTCCTACTGGCAGACTCTGAACATTCTTATTCCTGTCTGTGTAATCTAATGACTGAAGACAGGATCTTTGTCAGCACTAAGGAACAAATGAAGGTGTGCAGTCAGCATTCCACTTTGGGTATTGCAACTGAGAAACCCAACAGAGCATGAGATCAATACAAGGTCTAAGGAAAACATATTCATTATAATAATGAGATATCCATTTATAAGGTTAAGATTAGGGAAAAGGTACAGAGGGATGAATAAATTATGAACTGTCTGTGCTGAATGCCCTACTTTCTGACCAGTAATGGCAAACACTAGGGTACTTGGTACTACGGACAAAGTTTTCCCAATGATGACCCCCACACCTTTTGGAACACCCTTTTAAAAATGCTGAAGACACATTTATTCCAGGCTGCATTTGATATTTTAAAAACATTCAGCTGCTGTGGCATGTGTACACATGTGTCTGTTTTAAAATTCTGATTATATTTTCAAGTTTTGCAAGCTATTGCAATGAATCTGGAAATGCAGGTCAAAATTATTGTAATTAATCAAATAATTTATTGTAATGATCCTGCTGCTAAGCAAATCTAAAGCTTTGATTTAGATGGACAGAGTCATATCTAAAACAGATCCAATGGAATATGAGACTTAAGTGCTACAACAGCTGGATTCAATTTCCTATATACTGCCTGGATGTGAGATAACCTGAAATTACAGATCATGATTTAGGAATACATCTCCTATTAGTGACATTGCCTAAAAGTAACTTCAACTGTGAAACAATCTTCCTTGTTATTTGTACCTAATGGACTTTTGTTCTAAAGCTGCCCTACCCTTCATAATGAGAACAGACATTTACTTAACTCTAGATGGGTTACACCACCCAGAGTGATATAGTGGTTTGAGCTCTGGACTATGGCTCTGGAGACCAGGGTTCAAATCCCAGTTCAGCCATGTGAAATTATTGGGTGACTTTGGGCAAGTCACAGTCTCTTAGCCTCAGAGGGGATACCCCCTTTGCAGAAACTTGCCAAGAAAACCCCCTGATAGTTTCATCTTAGGGTCACCATAAGTCAAAAATGACTGAAGGCACACAATAACAAATGGTCTTTCAAAAAGTAATCCTTAAATACAAAGGCCCATTCAAAAGAACTGTTCATTGTATAATAATAATAATAATAATAATAATAATAATAATAATAATAATAATGGAAAATCAATTAACATGTACAATCACTTTGGTGCAAGAAACTGTCATGTTCCCAAACTGTAACGTGGATTAAATGAGTACATGAATCAGGGCATGTACAAACAGTAGTTTGTATGTAGTGACCACATAAGAAGAGTGGTTTGCATACAATGTCAACAGCCAAATGTGATTTCCACAAAAGCATTGAGTAGTATTTACATAAGGTTATGGTGAAATAACCAGTCAAGCTGATTGTACCCCATTTTAGAATGTCCACTCATTCCTTAACAGTCTCTCCATAAGAGCACTGTGTTTCAGAATGCTCGGCAGATGTAGAACCATTAAAGCGAAAAGATATGGAGGAAAAAAGGTATTCCTCCCATCCCATCCCAAATTTAAAACCTCCCCAAACTCATATATTTAACAAGGAAAGAGGAGAAAACATCCCAGAAGTTTTGAACATCATGAGAAGAATGCAGGCTAGGAATTTCATCAGCAAGGGAGCTATCAAAGCACAGAGAACTAACCAATAAGGTACAAATAAACATGTACAGCTATATACAGAAGAGCAAAGAAACTGTCACTGGCTACAAAGTGGGATATAAAAACTAGGTGGGACAAAGCAGGGGCAAGAATTGTAGACACTGTTCAACTGTATTCAACTGCATGTTCCCAGCATTCCTCACCAGTGGCTGTATTAACTAAGGCAAGTAGGAGAGGCAATCCAATACCTGAATGGGTAGACGATTCATACTCTAGAGACAGAGAAAGGTTAAACCTCTACCATGTGAGGCAGAAAAGACCAAAAGAGCACAGGAAATCATACACTACCTTGGAGAAATCCAAAGGACAAAGGACATGTACTTCCAAACTCAAACTCTTCTATCAACCCATGTTCTTCCCCATAATTCAAAACCACTGGTTTCCAAGCCTGGGTGAACAGATGTTGTTGGATGTCAACTCCTAGAAACCACCATGAATCGGGCCAATGCGAGTCTCTGAGTTGTAGTCCAACAGCATCTGAGGATTCAAAGTTGGGACCCACCCTCCTAAATTCAAATACATGTTATTCTTTCCCACCAAAATTGCTCTCCTCCCACATCACCTCTTTTAGCGATGATTCGCCTACAGTTGTAGTGGGAACAGTCAAGAATTGTGATGGATCCGACATTTAGCACCTTACTAACATGTTTCCCTGGGCAACCCAGGTAGGCAAAACAGTAGATCTTTTTTGCATTCCAATTGCTCCACCAATCAGATTTTAAAACCAGCCAGCCAATCAACTACAAAAAGAACACTCCCTATTCGGTTAAAATCTGATGAACTCATGGCTGCATCTTTAACTGCAACAAATGTATTAACATATTTATAGCTTGCCTACCAGTCTACAATGTTCAACTGGGGGGGGGGGCGACGACTAAATAGGCAGTGCCAAATTAAAAATAGAATTGTATTTTAAGACAAAAACCCATCAAATTATGGTTTATAAAATATTGAGATGAAATTATCAGATTACTGGAAGCTTTCTCACTTTTCTTGCCCTTTCTTCCGGCTTTTAGTTCTGGGTCCCATAATTTCTCTGAACAGACACTTCTGTGACTTTGAATGGAACTTGGTCTTTTGAGGGGAGAAACATGACATTTCCAGAATTTCGCTAGATGTTTTAAGCTAAGGGATCTGTGGTTAAATTGATCCCCAAAGTGGAGAGTGCACAACTGATAAATCATTGCTGTCACATCCAGGCATCTCATGATACCTAGAAGTCCCCACGGGGATGAATATGGTAGATGGCCATTAGTGTTTTTTTTTAAAAAAGCAAGACTAGTTGCATGTCAGACATCTGCTTTTTGCCTTAGGCGAAACACACAGGTTTCTTAGGCAACACATGGTGAAAATACAAAGAAACGGCAATAATATAGCAATGTTCAGACTTTCCCTGTTCCCCAGCATTTTTTAACCACTTTAGCCCACTGGGGGATTCTGGATAACCCAAAAGCTTGCACTCCACTGTGGAACTATAGTTTGTGCTAATCTGGGTATTGCCTTCCTGTGAGTTTGAAATAAGTTCTATTTTAATGAATTCCTGGGTCTTGTGATTTCTCTAGCCACCTTCTCTTAGGTGGCCTTCATCTCAAAGTGGCCTTCATCTCAAAGTGTTCATCACATTTTCAGCTTGTAATCAAGCCCAAGGAGAACCATGAAAACATGCTATATAGAAAGAGGGCTTCTATTTTGGTACAAAATATCTATCTATAATATTACATTGTCCAAGCAGATTGAAGCCTTTGATTTAACCTGGCTCTTCTGCAGTATGTTTGTAACATGGCATCATCCTCAGACATTGAAATGGATTTCAGTATGTTCTTGTATAAAATTCTATATTTTAAATATCAACATCACCTCAGCCTTCACACCTGCTTTAGGAGAGATGTAAATTAAATATCTAGTTTAATGACAATACTAAAATATTAGAATACTCTATGTGAAAACAATATCTCCAAATATATAATGGGTGTTCACATAACACATTCAACTGATATATTCAACCCAGTCTGCTAACATATGTACATAGGTTGTTTCTCTATATACTGATATAATCACTCATATGGATATGTATTCTTACGGTGTTTCTGGGTTACCACTAGCTTTGTTCAATCCTTACTTAAGTGGGTTTAAGAGTGGCAACTGATAACTGCAATATCAAGAGAAATGGTAAATGCACTTCAGATTTTAGACCAAACTTTAATGGAGATATACAAGGCACTGAGCCCTAACCCCAAAATGTAAAAAGCACAAGCCCAGGTGCTGAACCAGAAGTTCAGACTAAAATCCAAAACACATGTACCATGCCACTGATATCAAAGCTATCAGATGGCCTTGGTATTGAATCAATATGCAAAAGAAGGGTGCACTAGCACCTCCTCTTCCATTTCTTAATTCCATCTAGGGATGGGAATATGCCTACTTCCATCCTCTCAAACCCCAATCTTTTACAGAAATCCTAACTAAAGTCTGTGAAAAGGCATTTTAATGTCCTCCCCTAGCCCCACCTTCATGGGTTTGACAACTGAAACATATTTTCAAAGCCTCTGGTCAGGATTTCTGTGAAATATTGGAGGGGGGGAGTTGCAGATGTTTGGCAGCTGAAAAGCTAGTTTCTGGGGGGGGGGATGGTCCTGGGACAAAAAGCAACTACTGTTGCTGTTGCCCACTCTGTCTTAAATAGTGGAGCCACTATCAACATGCTTTCCTCCCATTCCCCCAAGTGCTTCTTCATGCACAAGCATTGCTTTCTACAGAAGAACACCCTCTGTACCATGTATACCAGCCCACACAGTGACAAGAGGCACAAAAAAGTGAAACCAAAGTCATCAAGGAGTTGGGAAATAAATGAAAGACCTTAAAGGTTCTAATAGTTAAAGGTCTCTTGTTACACTATTAATACATTGATTAGAAGACCTGTAATGGCAGGTAAATTTACTTCATACATCTATCAATTGTCACTCTCTCTATGATCATTAAGATCATAATAAGCAGAAAGCCAATTATGCCAGCACATTAGGTCAACCTTGCTATTATTCCTCCAACATTTTTTGTTCCAAAATTGTCACATTATAATTTATGGCAAAGCTTGTGTGCTGAGTACAAATGAATGCAGCTGATTATAATGGTGGTCCTTGATGATCCTTTCCACATATTATTTAAATGGAAAACCTTGAATTTGTGCTGCTTTCATGCATTTCCAAAGGCAGAACATAATGAATTCAAGACGCTTTGATTCTGAGTTTATATTGGTTTATAACCAGAAAGGAAGTTTAAGTCTGCCCCTTTAAGTCTGATTACAATAAGGGTCAGCAACCAGTAACAATATGAATGTTTGCAGACAGTAAGACCCCATCACCCCTGGCCAACATAGCCAAGGATGAGAGAAGACAGAAATACCAGACCAACAATATCATAGGGCCATGGTACCTATCCCCTAGACATGGTAAGTTCTCTTAACAAATCATGCCATAGTGGGTCCTTGCTATCCTTTGGGGTTTGGCTCTAGGAGCAGCTGTGAATACCAAAATCCATGGATGCTCATGTCCCATTATATACAATGGCAATATAAAGTGTTGTCTCTTATATAAAATGGCAAAATCAAAGTTTTCTTTTTGGAATTTATAACTTTTTGGAATATTTTCAAGCTGTGGATTAAAAATCTGTGGATATGAAGAGGTGGCTGTACATTCGCTGTCTGCCTCTTGCTCACATTTACACACACACCGGGGGGGGGGACTATTGGCTTCCATGTCAGGGAGTCAATGAATCCACTCCAGGTTTTGAATAGCTTTAAATGAACTTGAAAAGCTCCTCCCTCCCCCTTCCCCATTATCATAACATTTGTCCCAAGAAGGATGAAGTGGTCAGAATTCTACCTCAGGAAATAAGTCATAAAACTACAGTGCTCCTATTATCTATTTGATTCCAAAGCATAATTCCCCTCCATTCTTTGCCCCTCCCTTCGCACTTCCCTTTAGTTAACCACAGCGCTATTTCACCTTATCAAATTATTTCACCATATCACTATTTCACCATATCATTTATCCCCACTTCTTTATATTCTTTATTATGACAGATCCATAAACTTCCTATTCCCTCAGATTCTTTATCATGACAAATTCATTAACATATGACTATGACAAAATTATACCTTTAAATTACAATATCATACACACAGCCGAAATGTATTTACATGTACACTGTTTAATGTGGTTAAAGT